ACTGGGACAGGCTGTGCTGTCGTCAGTTAATAGATCCAACATGTGGGCTAAACACTCAAAAAATCATTGTTATCATCAATGTTTTCTGGTATTGCACAAGTGAAACACACACCGTGCAGCAGTTTCTGTGATACAGATTTTAGAAAATTCTACCAGTCTACAGAGCTAATTTGCAATCTCCATGAATGATCACATTCATCCAGCTGTAGCTGCACTCTCACTTCGTCAAGGCTCTATTGCAGTTTCAATGTTCACAGGAAATGCTTTATAGAAGGAGCGTGTTCTTCAGTAGCCACACTTAGAATATATAGTTTGGAGTTGTTTTGCAGCAGATAGATTCTATTTATTTCATTTAAACGTACAGTATAGCTGAAATCATGAACCTGTGTGTGACAAGATCATGATCAAAACATAACGAGTACAAATCTGATATTGACTCGTACTCAACTAATTTAAGGAAGGAATTTCCAAGTGTTTTCATGACCAAAATATCTGCAGATGTATCTCTCCATAAGCAACTCAGTGTCTGTATAAAATCCAAGTTATAGTTTTCCAAAGACCAATGTGTAGAAGCACACTGTAGAAGCTTCAATGGGGCATTTTTGAATGTTTGAAACAAACAAACAAAAAAACCCAACAACTTACAAATTAATACAATTGTTGCAGATTGATTCCCTGTTGCTAAACTAATAACATAATCACATAATTACTGCATATTGTTTCTTTTCTTGCATAATGAAATTGAATTATTGTATTTCTTACACTAGAGACAGAAAAATCTGAATTTTTTAACAAATATATAGTGAATTTGGCTGCTTTAAAACACAGTTTAAGAGATCAGAGACCAGGAGGAGACTAAACATTGATACCCTCCCTTCCCTTGTGCACTTGTATCTCACCAACAACAAACATGCAAAAATAGTTTTTACTGTGTATGTGTGAAGACAAACTAAATAACAAATTAAATTCATCGAGAAACACAACTACCAATAAATACAGGCATTTATAAAGGTAACTTCAGAGCAAACTCCTCTACAAAATCCCACCTGGGCCTCATTTTAGAAAAAGGTACAGGCAAAAAAATAAAAATGAAAGTCCATCTTGGGAGCATTCTTAAGTTTAAGGAGTGTTTCCCAAAGGCATCGTCACACACAGCCACACATCACTCC